ATCCAACAATCTTCCATCCATCCATCCATCCATCCATCCATCCATCCATCCATCCATCCATCCATCCATCCATCCGTCAAATTATATGTTTTATAATAAATGTTATAAAAATATTTGTTTTAGTTTAATTAATTCTGAGATCATTAAGGACCAAATCAGCCGCTCGGGATTCTGTATTTTTCTGTTTTGTTTCAACAGAGGTGTTATTGGAACAGTTCTGGCCTTGTTAGCCATTTGTTGGTGCAGTTTCTCAGCCTCCAAGATCTTCATCTCCACRCTGGCGATGCACGAGCAGCAGCTGTTGGTGTTTTACCCATGTGCCCTGCTGTACGGGCTCTTCACTCTGCTGACTGTCTTTTAACTGTCGGATCAATCAAACTCTCTTTAAATCAGTGAATATTACAAGTAGGAAACTTTATAAAAGAAATGTTTGATGACTTGATCATTTTTGTTGGGTTTTTTAAAAGATACATAATAAATATTTCTTTCGTAATAAATCTTGGTATTTTATTTATCTGCAGCCACATTGTTCTTGACAGACAATTACAGTGACTTTTATGTGCTTGTGTTTTGAAGTCTGCTTTTTGTTTTCAAACACAAAAWGGGTCAGGTTTATAATCTTGTTCACAAAATTGAGAAATTACAGCACTATTTTATCATTTCTTATATGACAGTTAGTTAGTTTTTACCTTCTTTTTTGCTGCAGATGGTGCTAAAACACCATAATCAGATGATGGGATTAGTTTCACAGATTAAAGGAACATGTTTTTCATGTATGTATGTGCAGTAAATGTTGATTTTTCTTTCTGGTTTCTACCTCCTGCCACTGTTTTGATCAAAACCATTTCCAAAAATGATGGCAGATTAAAAGAAAAAACTTATTTACAGTTGCCAAATGTGTAGTGTACATGTCAATGCCACAAAGTGCTGGAYGAATGTTGACCCTTTAAGCACCACTGAATGAAAAGCTATCATGTCGCAGTGATAAATAGCTCCACATGGACTCAGGAAAACCATTATCACCAACACAAAAACACAACCTGAGACAGTTTTACAGTCGACATGTGTTCTGTGGACACATGATAGACAGTGGGCGTGTGTTCTGTGGTCAGATGAGTCTGTTGAAACACATGGACATCTGGTTTTAGAAGCCAAAGATGRGAAACAGCCTCCATAAGGTGGAAAAGGTAGAATCTGTGAGGGGATGAAGGAGGAGGTACCATGGATGCAGAGGAGGATCATGAAGAGCCAAATCAGACAGTGAACACAGACAGTTAAGCTGCTGAAATCCAAAATCAAAAAAAAGAACAGACACAGATTGTTCAGAAAATAAATTACTTTCCTGATTAAAATTGTTAAAAAGAAAATGATTGGAATGAGGACAGCATATCTGAATGTGTTCAAACCTTTTGGCATTCCAAAGTTGACAGCTGAAGACTTTAAAACCTTCTCAGTGCTCGYGTTTGTTTCGACCTAATTGTCACATTGGAAAACCTCCCCTTGTTTCTGGCAATGCGGGTCATAAAATGAAGAAAGCCTTATCAGCGCGTGGAATTATGAAAGTTAACAGAGTTATAAAGAATTTTGAGAACCTAACAGAACTAATTTTCACACAATATGTGAGATGCATGTGGTGTAAGTGGAGCCTGACAACAAAAGACTCGGTGATGTTCTGCAGACGACTTTACTTTAAGAGCTGGGGGTGGGGACACGGGAGAGGCAGGGCGTCCATGTCCTCACAGTTTGCTGTGATGTTAACAGCATGGAAGTTCTGAAGACTGCAGGTCAGGTGGATCTGGTCCCTCAAGTGTTGCACAAGCCAAGACTTTAGATCTCTGAGGGAACGAAATATTGAGGCCATGATCTCTGTCTGCTTTGTGTTTCCTTTGGGTGTGGGAAACTAYGATGGCACAGAGGCTGAGCTCCATCACTGAGAGCTGAACAGAAAAACACGAGTGCTTTTAGACTAAAGGATGGAAACTGTTGGTATTGTTACTTAATCAGGTTGCAAAATACGTCACTTTAGGGCGAACTGTTTGTTTCTAGTGGTTTCCATTTGGAGCATTTGTTTGAACCACTCATCTCTTTAGCTAATTTGGCTTTTTAGCTTTAGTATGCCTCTTCTTGTGGTTGGGTTAGGGTACAAAGGATTAGGGACATCAGCTTTTCTTCTGAGTACCATCAGTGGTACTTGTAGCACAGGTTGGGAACCATGATTTTAGAGAAACACATCCATGTCCTGAAGAAATATCCAAATCCATCACCTCAGTCCTGAAACTAGGGCGACATATTTTATTTTAAACGTGAATTCTTCTCACTTTCTCATTGTTTGAAAGATTGTTCTGTCCAGCCTCTGGGAGTCCAGCAGCTTGATCCCCCCTTTGTCATTATTCAACATGTTTTATGGACTTCAGCTACAAAATAAAACAACTAAACTGATGCTGTGAGTTAAAAACTGGGGTTTTCTTTCTTATCTGTACATCATCTGAGAAAGACTGAAGGTTATCTTTGAGACGTTTTGCTAACATCACTTGTGGTTATTTTTAGGATTTTGCAGATGTGAATAAAATGCTTCCATAAAATTATTGGTTGCAAAACAGTTTTGACCTCTGTGACCTGTTGGTTTTCCTTGCCCTTGGCGGGACCAAGTCATAATCAAAACCATGTGTGAGTCTATTTTTGGGACTTTGTAATGCAGATAAGAACTACTTGGCAGTGATGCAACTTCTTGTCTACATTCATGTTTTGTAATTTGTGTTGGTAAATGTGCGTCCAAGTCAAATCCAGAGAAGTATGCATTACAAAACTCAGGCCTCGTTCTTGTTCTGCACTCTTTAAGAACACTTCCTGATGCTAACCTTTGAGGCTAAATGGCAAAGCCAAACCTAAAATGTGGCTCTAACCTCAGCCCAGTGTAATATAACCTTTTAATTGATAAATTCCTCCTAAGGCCGTGTTACAGAGTCAGAATACTTGATCCCATATCCTCAGTCTGAACCGAAAAAAGCCCACWGTAGTGATAGCATAAACAATAGCAGAGGATTGTGTTTATATTAGTGAGCGTTCACCCCCCACCCCCCCACACACACAGAGAGGGAATATATGTGAGGAAACATGTGTGCATGTTTGACAGAAAGCAGAAGGAAAGCAAAGGACAATCCCACGATGGGACCGTGAGGAGCAGGCCCAGTCTTTCTTCTCCTAACTGTTTGGATTGGTTAAAGCAAACAAATCCCTCCGGCCAAGCGGTAGGCTCAAGACAAGCGCTCCCTGGGCCCCGCATAGTCCTCCTGCTACTTTACACTAAACTCTTCCAGATGATTTATGAGCTCTCTCCTCTCAGAGGCTCACTGATGCTCACCTTTCAGAGCCCGGCTGACAGAGTTCTCGTGAGCCACCACCTTACCCAACTCTAACTCGCCTTCTCTCTGGTGCATTTTAAGGATATGATTGAGATCATGGTTTTGTTTGCGCCCTACTTTTAGGATGATGAGATGAACCTTAAAAGCAGAGGTGCCCAAAGTGGGGTCCGTGGGCTAAAATTGACCCACCAAACCATTTGATTTGGCCCACCAGAAATTAGTCTGGTTACTGGGTCTTATGTAGAAACACTGCATTTCCACTTTGTCATCCCAACCATTGGCTCTGTACAGATAGTTTTCACTCATGGCGAGTACTTTATTATTGAACTATATTAAGATGAAATGTGAAATACAAGTAACTACAAGAGACATTTGCATTAGATTTAAGCAAATGTGTAGATTTAAGACCACAAATATTTATATTTGATCAAATTATGAAATGTCCCATGAGCCTTTGCTGCCAGCGCATATGTCAAACTTTCTTCAAGCGCATGGACAAACACACAAACAAACAAAGAAAATAATAAAATATGTGCCAAAGCAGTGACTGCTAGCTAATAATAAAAAATGAAAGGACTTTACTTAAAAAGTGTTTGCATTTCCTGCATTATAATGTTATTACATTAAAATGGGAAAAGTTATTACATGAGAAAACATCTGGCCAACCCTGCTTAAAAGATTCCCAGAAGTGTTTTAGGAGATGCTAAAGCATTTTTTATGTTTATTTCCACCTGAATGATCATATTATCAGGACAGTGACACAAATATTTCAATTTGAGGAAATATTGATGTTTAACATCCACCTGTTGGTGACCAGGTCTCAGAAATACCAGATCCAGAACTCAGAGGTCTGTCTCCTTTAGTATTTTGTTAAATCTACTGATACTTTCAAACAAATCTTGTGTTTTTTATTTTCTTTTCATACATTGTACTTGGTTATACATCAACCTTAAAAATGAGGTCTTAAGAATTGCTTTGCTTCCTGAGCTGAAGGGATCCAGCATTTGTCTTCAGATAGATGTGCAATGGCTGATGGCTCTCAGTGGTGAAGTGAAATATGGTGTCAAACAAAAGCACATTTTCACATAACTCACTGGCAACAATATAAATGTTAGGGAGTCGAGGGGCTAATTTTAGAGACGGTGTAACGATTACACAAGAAAAAAAACGTGGGTACATCATTTTTGARGTTTTTGTTGACTTAGACAAAAGTTGAAAAGTTCATTTTGGTGGTTTGAGGCTACAGACCTGCAGAGCCAAGTTAAATATTCAGGTTGTTTTCTTCCCGCCTGCTACAGACCTGGTTCTGGTCCAGTTGGTGTTAGGAAAGAAGATAAAGGAAGCAGATAAACAGCTGGCACGCTGTTCCTGAAAGTGTCAGAAACACAGCTTATTAGTGCTTCAAATCATTCAACAAAAACGTCCACAGATGAAAAAAAAACTTTCAGTTATTTGTTATTCTTACCTGCAGTGAAGTTGAGGGGTTCAAAACCTGCTGTTGTTTTTCTTTTCTAATTCACATTTTCCAGCAGTATAACGTGTGGTCAGAGGAGAAAACGGACAGAGGTTTCTGAACAAAAAAGGGACTGATGGAAGTCTGGACAGAACCAATGAGCTTTGGCACATCAGGAAACACTGAAAACAGCCCCGACCTCCCACTTGTGTCTTCAGCTGTCAGGTGGAGCTGGAGGAGAGACGGAACCAAAATAAAGCTGCAGGTCCACATGGTGCCAGTCTTTAAAGCCTGCAGGCCTGTTATGTACATTAGAACCCTGAAGAACCTCTTTAACCTTAATATGTAGATTAAAGCAGTGACCAAAGAAAGATCCCACAGAAATGAGCTTTTATTACAATTAAGATGCTTGTGTTCTGCTTATTTTAGCTTTAATCGGTTTCAGTTTGTTCTGCAGCCTCAGCATTTTTACAAAAGTCTATTCCAGTAGTTAGTTTCAATAATCATCATGAAAACATCACACCTCATATCTGTGTGAAGGAAAAAAAAGTTTGTTGAGCAAATTAATTAAAGAGAACTGCAGAACAGAAAACGTTTWAAGAGGACATATTGGCAAAATTCATTTTTTTTAGCCGTTAAATGTATTTTGTTGTGGACTTGGGCGTTTTTAGGAGTGCAGAAAAGTTTAATTCAGTCTATTCTGTGCTGTGTAGATATCTTTATATTTTGTTTAGGTCATATTTTCAACTCGTTCAGTGTCCTCTATTTTCTACGAGGCAGAGCCCATAAGGCGACATGGGAAAAAAAGGGATCACAACTTACCTTTGCAATATTCTACAAAGGTTTCCCAGAATCTTGAGATTTTGCAGGATGCTGAGAGACTTTTGCAGGATTCTCCTGAGAATTTTTTGCAGAATTCTGAGAAACYGTTGCAGTGTCCTGAGGATCCTTTGAACAATCCTCCTGAGAAACCTTTGCAGGATCCTGAGAAACCTTTGCAGGATGCTAAAAAAAACCTTTGCAGGATCCTGAGAAACCTTTGCAGGATCCTGAGAAACCTTTGCAGGATCCTGAAAAACTTTGCAGGATCCTGAGAAACCTTTGCAGGATGCTAAAAAACTTTTGCAGGATGCTAAAAAAACCTTTGCAGGATGCTAAAAAACCTTTGCAGGATGCTAAAAAACCTTTGCAGGATGCTAAAAAAAAAAACCTTTGGGGGATGCAAAAAAAATAAAAACCTTTGCAGGATCCTGAGAAACCTTTGCAGGATGCTAAAAAACATTTGCAGGATGCTAAAAAAAAACCTTTGGGGGATGCAAAAAAAATAAAAACCTTTGCAGGATCCTGAGAAACCTTTGCAGGATGCTAAAAAACATTTGCAGGATGCTAAAAAAAAACCTTTGGGGGATGCTAAAAAAAACCTTTGCAGGATCCCAAGAAACCTTTGAAGGATCCTGAGAAACCTTTGAAGGATCCTGAGAAACCTTTGAAGGATCATGAGAAACCTTTGCAGGATCATGAGAAACCTTTGCAGGATGCTGAGAGACCTTTGCAGGATCCTGAGAAACCTTTGCAGGATCCTGAGAAACCTTTGCAGGATCCTGAAAAACTTTGCAGGATCCTGAGAAACCTTTGCAGGATCCTGAGAAACCTTTGCAGGATCATGAGAAACCTTTGCAGGATGCTGAGGAAACCTTTCCAAGATCATGAAAATCATTTCCAGCAAAGGTCAGTCAAGATCATTTTATTTATTTTTTTACCCATGTCCTCTTACTGGCTCCATGATTTTCTATAAAATTATTTGAACTATTGCCTCAAATTATTTGTGACTGAACTTCTAAATAATGAAAGAGAAAGAGGGGCTTGTGGAGTTCCACTTTATATAGACCTCAACTGATGGATTTAAATGTGAAAAGAAGCATTTAAAAGCACCATATGTCTCCTTAAAAAGCTAAAGTCACAGAAGTTTGCAGCATTATTACAAACTAAGCAGATGTGTTTTCTGATGAAGGCAGAAATAGAACTGATATAATAAACAGCAACTAAAGAAGGTCCATTTGCCAAAATGTAAAATAAGGAGAAACATTTGTTACTAATGTTGACAACTTTATGATTATTTCAGTTTGCAATTTGATGAGTGTCTCTTTTAACAGAAGCCCAGGAAAAAAAGTGAATTAATGTACTTTTAATTAAATCATTATGTGCTGGATCTTTAAAGCTTAAGTAGCCTGACCGAAGTGCCCATATCTAGATTAGCATTCAAGGCCCTATCAATATTACAGTGGCCATTAAAACCAAATTTTGTAATTGCACTAATTGGAGCCATTTGCAAAATAAATAGACTGGAGCAGCTTTTCAAATCGCCCCGGGAGCCTTGTGTGAGAGATGGATATGATAAAGTGGCTGCCTTTGTGTTTCCAGCTCCCCATAAATGATCCAGAAAATGTTCTAATGAACAATACAGGTGGGAAAGTCATGAATCCTGGAGGCCTTGCTACCATTCTGCCTTGTTTGCGGGTGACTTGGTGAATAAACATTCTCAGTTAATGACCAATGTCAGAGCAACCAGCATGGCTGACTGAAGCCCAACTAACCCCTCGGWAAAAAGATATCCGAACCCCAACCTGCCACACACAAACCCCTTCATACTCCCAGGAGGGTGTAAATGAGGAACTCTGCTAATGAAGCAAAAATAATGAGCATTATTTTACTATGTGCACCTGATTTGAGAGCTTAAATTGTGATTTTGTATTAACTATTTGGCTAGCAGCTAACCACCAGAGAATATACTGATATCATGATGCAGAACAACACACATTTATTGGAAACACAAGTTCCAGAGCAGCTCTAGAGCCTTTTTCTTAAAGGGGAAATATCATGTAAAATCAACTTTTGAGTTTTATATCATGTTATAATGTTATACTCTCATAAAAACATACCCAAAGCCTTGCTTTGACTCATTCATGCATGTTTGAGAAATCCTGCAGCGTTTTTAGGAAGCCATGCTGAGGAGCAAAACGACAGSTGGGGACCAGAAAGACCTATTGGTACCAGAAACGCCCCTTGGACGTGTCTTTAAGCCGAGCTTCCTCATCACGGAGCACACCTCCCCACACCCCGCCCATGACTCCTGCAGGCTCTCCGCAGTAACAAAGCAAAGTGAAAGTGAAACTTAAGCTGTCTGCTGCTCTTAACACTACTTCTCACTCAGTGAAGCTCTTTTCAGATTCAAAATACCTTTGAGGAAATGTATTTTCAGATGTCAAGTAAACTGCATCATAGCCCATGTGCGACCCCCCCAGCACTGAAATGGACGTAACAGAAGCGGAAGGTGGTTCTTAAAGAGACAGAGGCCAATTTAAAGGTGTTTAGAAGAGGAAGTGATGAAAAGATAAGTTTATTTTCCATTTAAACATAAAAACAGCATTTTAATAACAGCTAAAGGTGACACAGATACTTTATTATGGTATAGAATTTAAATATATGCCTGAGAAACACATAATTTTGCCCCTTTAAAGAAATATTACAAGTGTGAAAATAACAATCACAATTTGTGCAAATTACAAGAAGACTTCTTCCCCGGGTTCAGCCTTCTGTCAGTCGACATGCAAAATTCTAAAAATCTTAATATCTGAAAAGCATATTGTCAATTAGTCTGAAAAGTTGCTCATGTCTATCGATCAGTAGGGGCAATTAATCCAATTTTGAGCTTGATTACGATTTGGGTTTTCAACAATCATAAAAACAAAATGATCGAAGTTCGCAGTTTACGCTTACGCTGTTTAGTGTTGTGAATCCAGTGCCACTGCCAGCACGATGCTGCAGGCACCTCACACAGCCAAAGTTTCACTTTGTCTAATTTCTCAAAAAATATTTGCAATCCTGAGGGAAACATTGTTTAAAAGCCATTGTTTATTTCAATAAATTCATGTTGTCAAAGTTAATGAATAATTTTGTTAAAAAATCTAGATCTCAATTTAAATCACAACAGAGATTATAATTTTTGCAATAATCGAGCAGCCCTATCGCTCAGTAACAGTTCTGTACAAAGCCCCTGGTTTAAAACATACACACCAAACTAAAACACAGACAGCTGTCAACAAATGACTAAACTCTGTAATTTGTTTCAATAACTCAACATGTGGCTTGTACTTCTCTGTTTTGTGAAGCCCTGGAAACATCTTCATCTTTCGGCACCATTACTGCTAATTTTGGACCCAAACTAAATATTTAACGTTTCACAGAGAAAAAGGCACTGCATATTTTAAAGCTCGGGTCATTTTCCTGCAACGATTACCCTGCTAACATACAAGCATGCATGACTCAGTTTCGATTTCATGTGGTTATTCCCACCATGACTTCACTGATGTCCCACAGTTTAGAGGCCAGGTCCTGGTTTGTGGCCTTGTCCAGGAGAACCTGAGGCTGACAATCAGCAAAACACTTGCCCTGCACGCCGTCTACATCTGGGCTGGAGGCCAGATACACTGAGGTTTGAGCTCCTTCCTCTGGGCTTTTAAACAAACCCCAGGAGAGCAGGTTAAAAAGGGGTTTAGCCAGCACCGGAACGTGCACGTGCCTCCCCAGATTAGTCCTCACGATGCCCGGAGTGAGAGCGTTCACCGTCACTCCGCTGCCCTCCAGGCGGCGAGCCAGCTCGCAGGTGAACAGCAGGTTGGCCAGTTTGCTGCGACTGTAGGCCAAGGCTTTATCATAGAACTGCTCGCTGTTCAGGTCCTCGAAGTCAATCTCACCGCGCTTGTAGAGCTTGGAGGAGACCACCAGGACGCGGCTGGGCGCCGAGCGTTTCAGGAGGTCCAGCAGCAGGTGGGTGAGCAGGAAGTGTCCGAGGTGGTTGACCCCAAACTGCATCTCAAAGCCGTCCTCGGTCCTGGTGTAAGGACACTGGAAGACTCCGGCGTTGTTGATCAGCACGTCTAAACGAGGCTCCTCCTGTTCAACAACATGAAGAAGAGCAGTGAGGGCTGCAGAGAGCAGGCTGAATTAGTGCCTCATCTTAACCAACCACTGACTTTTAGGGTTGGGAAAAATCGTATTGTGTGCAATTAATCATCAGAAAAAAATTTTATCAATTTTTTTTTTTGATAATTAATATGATTAATGCCACTTGGCAGACCGGCTGGGGATTTCCCTGGTCAGTCTGCTCGCTGCTCCTCTCCACTTCAAATACAACGGGCCTCATGCAAGAACATGTTCGTATTCTTATCCTAAATTTCTCTTACTTTTGTTCGTACAAAGGGTTCGTACGGACATGTCACGTCAGATTCAACACTCTTCTATCTTCAGGAAAAGTGTGTAAATGAGCTGCGTAAATTACACCTGTTTGTATCCAGCTGCTCGTGCACGCG